CAGAATGAGTGAACCCAACTCTGCCATGAAATGGATAATTTCATGGGTCCTTTTGGGTGGGCCATGAGACTCACATATTTGGAGAACAATATTCTGGATGTTTCTTTGAGAGCATTTTGGGGTGAGACTGAAATAAGAATCAGTGCACTTGAGGTAATATAGATTGTCCTCTATCATGTAGATGGGGCTCATCCAATTGGGTGAAGGCCTGAATACAACAAAAGCCTGACTACCCCCAAGCCAGAGGGAAATGGCTGCAAGCAGCCTTCTGGCCTCAACTACAACATCAGCTCTTTCTCCATCTCCAGCTGCCTACCCAGCAGGTTCCACACTTCCCAACTTACACAATCAATTGAACCAATTCCTTAAAATTAAAATAAATGTCTTTATATACTTACAAATACACACACACACACACACACAGGGTCTTCAAAAAAGTTCATGAGAAATGCATACTATGAGAAAACAGCATGGATTTCAAACATTCTTTGCACAAAAATGAACTTTTAATTTCATTTTTCTATACACACACACATTTCAAACCCTGCAGAAATCATTTTTTGTTTATGGCCCACACAAAAACAGCCTGCAGAATTGTGGGCAAAGGAGCCAGTACAATGGATCAACTGGCTAATCCTTCTCCTCCAAGCACCAGAATCCCACATGGGCTGCTCCACTTCCCATCCAGCTCCCTGCTTATGACCCAGGAAAGCAATGGAGGATGGCCCAAAGCCTTGGGACCCTGCACCCGCACAGGAGACCTGGAAGAAGCTCCTGGCTCCTGGTTTCAGATACACTTAACTCCAGCAATTGCAGCCATTTGGGAAGTGAACCAGCAGGTGGAAGATCTTTCTCTCTGTCTCTCCTTCTCTGTAAAATGCCTTTCCAACGAAAATAAATAAATCTTAAAAAAAATTGTGGACACTGAACAAATCAGTTGGTCATCTCTACTTCAAAAGAATGAGAAAGTGAAATCCAGGCTGGCACTGTGGCACAATGGGTTAGGGTAGCACCTGTAATGCTGGCATCCACAGTGGATACCAGTTAGAGTCCCACTGTTCCACTTCCAATCCAGCTCCCTGCTAATGCACCTGGGAGAGCAGCAGAGGATGTGCACAAACATTAGAGACTGGGAAGAAGCTCCTGGCTCCCAGCTCTTGTGTGGCCCAAATCTGGTCACTGCAGCCATTTGGGGAGCAACCAATAGATGGAAGATCTCTCTGTTTGTCTTCTCTCTCTCCTTCTCTAACTCTTTCAAATAAGAAAGAAAGGAAGGAAGGAAGGAAGGAAGGAAGGAAGAAAGAAAGAAAGAAAGAAAGAAAGAAAGAAAGAAAGAAAGAAAGAAAGAAAGAAAGAAAGAAAGAAAGAAAGAAAGAAAGAAAGAAAGAAAAAGAAAGAAAGAAAGAAAGAAAGAAAGAAAGAAAGAAAGAAAGAAAGAAAAAGAAAGAGAGAGAAATCCTACCACAGCCATAAAATTCTTAACACTGTTCATCATCACCATCATCATCATCATGCTCATCATCACCACTAAGACCAGGATTCTGAAATTTGTTTTGCATCTCCCCAGTGGGATTTTGCCTTCACAACATTACATTCAAAGCAAAGGTAGGAGAGTGCTATTTTCAACTTTGTTCTTTATGATTCTCTTGCATGATTGCTCCATGTCTCTCCTACTTGATTTACAGCTGCTTTCCTCCCAAGCTGCAGCTGTTTTTCCCTAGTCTTTGTTCTTTAAGTCCCAGCTGAAGCTCCAAGGCAGCACAAAGCAGTAACTAAACCTGCAGGCTCTGGAACAAGAATTCCAGCTCTGTTTGGACATTCTAGGACCTGGACAAATAGCATCTTAATTCTCTTCTGTACTCTTCCCAGCTACCATGTCTCTAAAAGAAGGCAAATAATATTTTTCTGATGGTGCTAGTGGAGCCTACAAGACAAACAGGTGCTCACATAGGATGCTGGTGTCACAGGTAACAGCTTTAACATTTGTGCCACAGTACTGGCCCCCTAGCTAGGCCTATGGAAAAGGGTTACTCTCTGAGGAGACCCCTAGCTCTGGGACACTGCTTGACTCTCCATGTGTGATACTAAGACAAACTCAGGACTGCTACCAATAGCTACATGCACATCAAGAGGGCATATTAAGGAGGCACATCCCTCTACCATTCTTTGAACAATTCACTTTCAGCCTCTTCTGGTTGATAACCTTCTCCTACTGACATGCGGTCCACAGAAAATACACAAAGCATGAACAGATTCCAAAGTTCTTGTTATGCAAAAGTAGATAGCTTTTTTTTTTTTAAAGACTGTCATTTTTTTTTTAAAGATTTGTTTTTATTATTTTTTCATTGGAAAGGCGGATATATAGAGAGGAGAGACAGAGAGGAAGATCTTCCATCCGATGATTCACTCCCCAAGTGAGCGCAACGGGCCGATACTATGCCAATCCGAAGCCAGGAGCCTCTTCCGGGTCTCCCACGCGGGTGCAGGGTCCCAAAGTTTTGGGCCGTCCTCGACTGCTTTCCCAGGCCACAGGCAGGGAGCTGGAAGGGAAGCGGGGCTGCTGGGATTAGAACTGGCGCCCATATGGGATCCCGGGCGTGCAAGGCGAGGACCTTTAACCACTTGCGCCACCGCGCCGGGCCCAAAAGTAGATAGCTTTTAATTCCACTCTCCCCACAAACACTTTGAGGTGGCTTCCTAAGTTGGCTATCATGGATTCTATTTTCTGAGTCCACTTCCCTCACCTTGCTCCTGGCCCACGCAACTTGCGCAGTTTGGTTGTTCAGTGTAGTAGTGGCCAGAATGGGCAGCTCCCTAGGCAAGTGAGCAGGACAAAAGAGGTGGGGGATTTTGCACTCTCAGTTTGAAACTACATGAGGACATGGGATTCTGAATTCAAGATTTAGGATTCCTGAACACACTGGGCCTTTTTGGGTAAGTGGTGAACATAAAAATATTTGTGAAAATGCGGTGGTTCTTTTGCACATAACCTTCCTAACAAAAGATCTGATAAAAAAAAAAGTGATTAGAAAAAAATGTAAAGTAATGATTACTAAATGGGAGACACTGATTGTATAACAGATGAAACACACACACACACACACACACACACACACAACCCTGGCACCCAAGCAAGGTAAAAGGGACATCAATGATCATTTTTAAATCGAACAAAAAATCAATAACTGTTTCCGGTGGCTTTTCCTTCTTCAGGTGCTGCCTTTCACAACTACGGCCTTGAATTCAGACTGCACTGACTGTGACAACCACCACCAGGAGGGTCCCAGCACCCACACATATTCCCTGTGTGTCACCTACACTTAGGAAGCAAATGAAGAGACATCACAGACAAGCCAGACTGAAACTCATTTTCTAAAGCTCTTCTTGAAACTAAGGACTAACCTGTACTGTTTGGACTGGAATGAAAACCCTATTGAGGGAGTCTCATGCACAAGACCACATTGACCTCTTATCTTGTACTTTCTGTCCAGTAAGGGGTTTTCAAAAAGCTCCCAGAGGGAGCCAGCCTTGTGGCAAAGCACATTAAATCAACTGCTTGCAATACTGGCATCCCAGGTTTCAGTCCCAGCTGCTCCATTTCTAATCCAGCTCCCTGTTAACAGGCCTGAGAAGGCAGCAGAAGACCGCCTGGGTGCTTGGGCCCCTGCCATTACACAAAAGAGACCCAGATGGAGTTCCAGACTACTGGGGAATGAACTAGCACATAGAACATTCTGTGTCTGTCTCTCTTTCTTCCTTTCAAACACAAGGAAAAAGAATAAAACTTTTTTTAAAGCAAGCAGTGGAAGATGCTTCTAATACTTTTCCTATACTAGCCTGGCCCCTACCAACTTTTTGTTAGTTGATCGATTAATTTGAAAGACAAAGTGACACACAGAGAAAGGCAGATTTTCCTTCATTGGTTTACTCCCTAAATGGCTGTAATGGTCAAATCTGGACCAGGCTTGGAGGCCAAGAGCCAAGAACTTCATCCAAGTCTTCTACATGTGTGGCAGGAGTACAAGTGCTTGGGCCATCTTGCATTACTTTCCCAGGTACGTTAGCAGGGAGCTAGATGAAAAGTGGAGCAGCAGGGACTCCAACCAGTGCTCTATCAGTCGCCTAGCCCTCTGTGACACAAGGCTAGCCCCTCTTACTAATTCTAACCACCTGAGAGGACAGAGTTCGGATGAGGGCTGAGCCCCCGATACACCAATGGTTAACCTGTGCCTATTTTATAATTTCACTGACAGCAGCCTGGCTTAACCTTCTAACATATGCTAATGGTTTTAAAACGTTATGGCTACTGTGCTTCAAGAGGGACTGCAGAAGATCCAACATGTCTCTAGAATGTGTCAATGTGGCCAGGCCCGTGTGATAGTTAGACTACCAATATTCTGGATGTTCTGGTAAGGGTGTTTTTGGAGCCCCTCAAAGTCAATGGACTTTGTATAAAAACAAACTGCCTTCTGGAATATGGCTGAACTTCATCTGCTCAGCGGAAGGTCTGCAGAAGACAAAAGTCTGGTGTCCCTTGCACAAGGGGGAACTTGACAGCAGCCAGCCTTGGCAGCTCATCTACAGTCTGGCCTCGTCCAGGTTCTGCCAGACTGCCTTTGAACCTGAACTCTGCCCAGTATCCAATTTACCTGCCTCCTCCAACCGTCACCCTCATAAGAGCCAATCTTTGACAACTGAATTCTTTCCACACACGTCCTTGCACATCCTCGTGGTTCTGCCTCTCAGCAGAATCCTAACACAGTCTTGGAGTCTAACAGTGCCATATCCTTTATCAAGAGATTTCTTTTGAATATCTCTATAACCACTGACTCAAACTTACACATCAATTTTTTTTCCCACAGATTAGCAGGTAACATTGCTCTAGGTGACTTACTACTCACAGCCCATGACATGTGGACTGTAGAATCGGGAATAATCAAACATGCCATATGTATATATTTTATGTAAGTGTGTATAGCTTCTTAGTACTGCAGACCCACCTGGCATCTTTTGAATCTCCCTCCTGCTATTATTTCATTCATTATGTGGTGATTAGGAAGGTTGTTCTACACCCGAGCTTGTCTAGACCCTGAAATGAAAAAGAATATAGAACGTCAAGCACATGTTATATGTACCCATTCGTATTTTTTTTTTTTTGGTCTCTTCCACAGAGCTTGTACAACGGACATATGACTGGAAATACAGTTTATGTGGTGTATTTTCTTAACCGTGACGCCCCAATACAGTGCTCCCGCTCTACTCACGCCCTTAAAAGTTAATAAAAATCTTTAAAGAACAAAAACTGCCTGACATACACATCCAGTCACGACAAATACCACAACTCCCGCGCGTGCCCGAGACGCTAGCGCTTCCGCTTCGGCCCGCCCCCTACGCGCTCTTAACTGGCGGGACGAGCTTGCCTTCCAGCCAATCAACGCTCCAGAGGACCCTCCTCCCGCGCGTCTTTCGAAGCCCTCCCAGGAACCAATGAACAGTTAGAGGCCGAGCCCCGGCACCCGGAGGCGGAGTCAGAACCAGGACGAGGCTCTGATTGGCTCTCCTAAGACGCCGCGCCCCACCTCACGGAAAAATGAGCCAATGAGCTGAGTGGGGGTGTGCTCGGAGCTGGGCAGCGGCTGAGTCGCCCGGTGCTGCCTTAGGGAGGCGACACTGGCCCCGGCGTGCGGCGTCCGGCGATGAAGCCGGTGAGTTGGGCGGCGGGGCTTGGAAGTGTGAAGCCGCAGGGAAGGGAGGCCAGAGCTTGGGCAGGGTGGGCAGCGCGGTGCTGATCAGTGCCGCATGGTCACCGGCACCGGCTGCGGAGCGATGTCCGCCGTGTGCCTGTCACCTGCCTTCCGCAGGGGTCTCAGGAGCCTGCGGACATCCCTGCTTCTTGTGGGGAGACTGAGGCATGGAGCGCTTAAGGCGTCTGGGCGTGTCAGTGTGCGTGATGGCCCAGGCCCGAGCGGTGTCGAGGGTGCCCCTGTGCCCAGTGAGAAAAACCACGAATAGAAACGCCGCGCCCCGGCTTGTGGGCAACACCCACCCCAAGGTGGCACTGGTGTGTCCCCACCTGGCACTGTGCCCCTTTGGCTGCCATTGAGAATCCCTGGGAGTGGGCAAGCGGAAACGTTGGGATTCTTAACCCTGGCTGCGGGAATGGGCCACTGCTGCAAAGAAAAAGAAAACGCGACGCCAGCCAGGAGCTGAGGGCTCAGCTCTTGACCAAACCACCTGAGGTGACAGCCTGGTGAAGAGCTATCTTTGGGGTTCCATGGATAGTAACACCACCAGGCAGCGCCTAAACTGGCTCTGTTATATGATCCTCTGCTATCAAGGCCAGTCTATAGAATCCGACTTCCAAGCCAGAAGGGGCAGGTGTGGTGACACTCGCTAATCCCTGTTTCAAGTGGCAGAACATCAGCTGTCTTTGACTCCTGGCTGCAGTTCTCCACTTGCCCCCCTGCCCCCCGAAAGGGAACAGCCAGTTACTGATTTCCAAATTTGGGAGGGACAGGACCTCAGCAGCGTTCGGTTGTCCTGTTTTAGCATTACCTTCCTGCCTTCCCAGGCATAGCTATCAGGTGCGTTTAGTTACATGGGAGCGCTTAAGTTTTATTGTCACCTATGACTGGGTGACTAAGTCTGTCTGAATTCTGGGGTGAATGATTCTTAATGAGCTCACTTGGCCAGTTAAAGCTACATCCTCCACTGGACACTTAATCCATTTGCCACTCCTGTGTATTACATCTCGGTTCCTACCAGGAAGTGGAAAAGATGGTTTTCAGGTTGATATTTTTTCTTTAAGATTTATTTATTTTTATTGGAAAGGCAGATCAGAATTACAGAGAAGAGAGACAGAAAGATCTTACATCCACTGGTTCATTCTCCAAATGGCCACAATGGTCAGAGCTGAGCCGATCCGAAGCCGGGAGCTTCTTCTGGGTCTCCCATGTGAGTGCAGGGTACCAAGGCTTTGGGCCATCATCTGCTGCTTTCCTGGGTCATAAGCAGGGAGCTGGATGGGAAGTGGAGCAGCTGGGATACAAATTAGTGTCTATATGACACTTGCAAGAGGAGGATTTAGCCAATTGGGCCCTTGCACCAGGCCCTGATTTTATGTTTCTAACAGAACCTTTAAAATTCCAAGAAAGTTTAAAATACGCCCACCCCCACCCCGTGTACTAAGGTTGCCTACAGCATTAACTTCTAGTTCCTTGGGCTAGCAGAGTCCAGTGACCATAAAGCTGGAGATTCCTTAATTCTTTATACGCCCCCGTGCACCCACCTTCCCATCCTTGGGGATTATTGTTTTCAAAACCAGGCTGCATGGAACTGCTTCTCTGGCTTCCTCTCTCCCCTCCATCATTGCTGAACACATGAGCCTTTTCTCCATTTACCTTACATACCTTCACTTTTTCCCTACCTGCCTACAAACCTGCAGCTCTGCATTCTGAGCCCGGCGTTAAGCACCTGCTCAGTGAAGCCTCAACTCAGTGATGGTCCATGCATCTTTGTCCCACAGTGCACAATTTCCACATAAAGTACCCCTGCTTTACCACCAACACTTGTCTTCTGTAATCCATTCACACACCTCACTTTCCAGCCAAACAGAGGGGTGACCGTTGGCCATGTATCTCCAGAGCTTGGTATATGAAGGTGTTCAAAGAAACATGTGTGAATTAATAAGTAAATCTTCCACTTTATAGTTGAGAAAAACAGGTCAAAAAAAAAAAAAACAACAACAACAGAGGCAGCTTCTCCAGGATGATTCAGTGAGTGGCAGAGCCCACACCACCTGCCAGGTGTGTTGGTTTCCAAACTCTCTTCCCATAACACAGTGTCATTATGAGAAGGATGGGAAATAGCGCTTGTTATTGAGATTACTGAACTCACTAATCATATTGGCTGATGACTTAACAGATGGCAGATATTCGTTGCATATGTAAGCTAGACCTGAATGTAAACAGCCTTTATTGGTTTCTGTTTTCTAACATAACATTTCTTTTGAAGCCTAGTTCAATACAAGCTAGTGAGTTTGACTCATCCGATGAAGAGCCTCTTGAAGACGAACATACTCCGATTCACATATCATGGTATGTGAGCACCTCTTATCAGTGATCAACTGCATTCCCGACACGTGTATTGAAAATACTTAAGCCATGTTCGTCAGCAGATTGACTCTCACCCCAAAATGCCTTGGGATGAGAAATGTTTCCGATTTTGGATTTTTAAGAGTTTAGGAATATTTGAATTGTTTTTATTAATTGAGTACCAGAGCTCAAAGTTCTAGATTTGAGAGTATGTGGGACTTCAAATTTTTCTATCAGGGACAGTCTGTATAATTTTTATTTTTAAAGGATCTAACTCCATGATTTACTCTTAATGATGTATAATATGACCAAGTTTTTGTTTGTTTGCTTTTTGGTCCTTTATACATTAAGAAAACCTCAACATGTAAAAATAGAAGTAGCACTCCCATTGGGTACCAAAACTTACTAATTCCTGAAACTGAAAAAAAAAAAAAGCCACAATTGATATTTAATCACTTTTCACTAACTCATATCCTAATACAGAGAACTGCTTGTCACGATAATGCATTTATCAGCAGACTCTGCTTTATGATAAAGGTAACAAATATGGAACTCAAGTTTTTGCTTCCAAGGCACTCCCAAATCTTAGCACATTACACCAGATTCTCTTCAACTAGCAATAAAACACTCTCATTGCTGTAAATGCAGTCATCTCTTTCCCCAAGAGTCATTCCCTGCAATAGGAAAAGGACAACCAGCATTTCTGTCCCTGGAGTTCCATCCTGCTATCAAATAGCACAGCCTTTCTCATTCCTCGGCAGATTCCGTTTTTAAGCTAAAATACTCACCTCATTTTCAGTCATGTGATCTATATGTTGGTCCCCTGTGTTCCTCGAAACACATCTTCCGACTTGCAGACGGGCGAAAGCTGTGTCCTCCAAACATTGAACATTTAGAATGCAATTCCCTGAAATTACTTCATTTTAATCATCCTTTACAACAAGCAGTGGAATAACTTGTGGCTCCTTCAGGTAAGGTGACTGAAATCATATCTGCTAAGGAAGCCCCACAGAAAACTCTGGAATAATGCAGAGGAGGAAACTCCCAGTTGGTCCTCTCCCCAGCTCCTTGACTTCAAGTCACTAATACAAAGTGTCCCCAGAAACAAACCACAGGATGATTTAAACAAACAGTATACTGCCTGTTGGCAAATTTAAGCATGATTATCCTTACAGTAAATCTGAATGAAGTTGCTGCTTTTAAATTTAAATAGTAATAAAGTAAATGATAAATCCCTCTTATAGGTTCTTTTTGGGCAAGGGGGATGGCACAATGATATGAACTCTGAATTGTGACTACCGTGAAACTTTGAAACACCGTAACTCACTGACAAACACCCAAGTTGGCTAAACTGAATTTCTATTCATAACTTTTAAAAAAATAATAAAATTAAAAACAAAAATTTTTATTGGGAAGTCAGATTAACAGAGAGAAGGAGAAACAGAGAAAGATCTTCCATCCACTGGTTCACTCCCCAGTGGCCACAACAGCTGGAGCTGAGCCGATCTGAAGCCAGGATCCAGGAGCTTTTTCTGGGTGTTGCACAGGGGTGAGGGTCCCAAGGCTTTGGGTCATCCTCTGCTGCTTTCCCAGGCCACACGCAGGGAGTTAAATGCAAAGTGAAGTGGCCGGGATATAAACCAGTGCCCATATGAGATCCTGGCACATGCAAGGCAAGGACTTCAACCACTAGGCTACTGTGCTAGGTTTAAATAATAAAACTTAAAATTTTTTTTTAAATCCAAAGGGCTAAGCTTGATCAATGTTTCTTTTCAGGTTGTCTCTGTCCCAAGTAAATTGGTCTCAGTTTCTTGGTTTATCTGCTCTGCCAGGTAGGTGACACTACAATTGTCTTCCTGTTACTAGATGTAGATGAATGTTTTTCTTCCATTATCTGACTCTTGAAGCTCTGTACTGAGCAAGAATCTCATAGACCATCTGCCCAGGGGAGCTCACTTCTGGGAAGCCCCCGTGGTGGGCTCCACTCTGCAGCCTTCCAGATCTGCCTTCATAGCTCTGCTTCCTTGATTCATCCGTCCTCATCCACTTTGAAGCCCAGGGTGCCGGGGAGACAGAGCACTGCAAGCCAGGTCCTTGTCACAGAAAGAGCACAAGACAAGCAATCCTTGTTGGGAGGTCCTGCAGCTGGGACCCAAGGATCCTTGTAATGATGTTTCTAAAAATAGGAGGAACTGAAATTTGCATTCACAACAGAATTGAACATATACATGATCATTTGGAATGGTGTTCTAA